TGTTTAAAGCCCTAGAACCTGCACGGATAAAAAGGTTAAGTTACAAATAATATGTTCTTATTGTAACAGTGCTTCTCAAATTATACAATCTGAATCTTAAATTTAACAACCCTTAAAAACATAGTTTTCTCGTATGAATCCTTTTTATAAAATGTAATCTCGAGCAAAGGGGGACTTAAGATTCGAGAATCCCCCAATTAATGCCCCCCCCCCCCCCAAGGCTCACAAGCGCACATTTTTTCACGCTCCTGAACGCTATCAATATTTTAATGACCCGCCCACTTGTACACAGATTTAATTCACCAACTATTTCAGAAAAGCAAAAGAAAATATTGCGCACCAAACGCACTTGCGATGTATAGAAAAAAATCTTATTTACCGCAGTTATCGTGGATTTACCTTCATGGTCCCCCTGAGGTGTACTCGCCTAAGATTTATTTTTTTAGCGAATTTCAGCATGTGTTTCCAGATGGTGCCTTACTGACAGCTGTCAGGTGCCTTACTAGCTGCTGTCTGGTGCCTTACTGGCTGCTGTCAGGTGCCTTACTGGCTGCTCTCCAGCGCCTTACTGGCTGCTGTCCGGTGCCTTACTGATGTCCCGCGCCTTTCTGACTGCTGTTCAGTGCTTTACTGTCTTGCCTTCCGGTGCCATACTTGCCTTCTTTCCAGTGCCATCCTGACAGCTGCCAGGTGCTTTATTGGCCTGCTTTCTGGTGCTTTAGTGACCTGCTTTCTGGTGCTTTAGTGGCCTGCTTTCTGGTGCTTTAGTGACCTGCTTTCTGGTGCTTTAGTGACCTGCTTTCTGGTGCTTTAGTGACCTGCTTTCTGGCGCTTTAGTGACCTGCTTTCTGGTGCTTTAGTGACCTGCTTTCTGGTGCTTTAGTGACCTGCTTTCTGGTGCTTTAGTGACCTGCTTTCTGGTGCTTTAGTGACCTGCTTTCTGGTGCTTTAGTGACCTGCTTTCTGGTGCTTTAGTGACCTGCTTTCTGGTGCTTTAGTGACCTGCTTTCTGGTGCTTTAGTGACCTGCTTTCTGGTGCTTTAGTGACCTGCTTTCTGGTGCTTTAGTGACCTGCTTTCTGGTGCTTTAGTGACCTGCTTTCTGGTGCTTTAGTGACCTGCTTTCTGGTGCTTTAGTGACCTGCTTTCTGGTGCTTTAGTGACCTGCTTTCTGGTGCTTTAGTGACCTGCTTTCTGGTGCTTTAGTGGCCTGCTTTCTGGTGCTTTAGTGGCCTGCTTTCTGGTGCTTTAGTGACCTGCTTTCTGGTGCTTTAGTGGCCTGCTTTCTGGCGCTTTATTGGCTGCTGTCCGGTGCCTTACTGGCTGCTGTCCGGTGCCTTACTGGCTGCTGTCCGTTGCCAAACTGACTTTTGTCCACTGCCTTACTTTTAGCTGCCCGGTGCCATACTGACTCCTGCCCGATGCCATACTGGACTGCTGCCCGATTCCATACTGACTGCTGCCCGATGCCATACTGACTGCTGCCCGATGCCATACTGACTCCTGCCCGGTGCCATACTGACTGCTGCCCGATGCCATACTGACTGCTGCTAATTCCCTTATTGATAGAGACACAAAAACCACCATGTTGATAACTGCGATTTTTTCGCATAAGAGCTCAATGAAACTTTAAAAAAAAATAATATTTTCCTATAAGTATTTTGTAACTACTGACAAATGTATACCACTATAAATCACACCTTATATTCATAGTAAAAAAAAAAAAACCCAATTTTTTTCTCATACCACACATTGTTACGACATATACCGTTGTCTGTATTCATAGAATGAGAACCTGTGAATGAAGGGACTGAAAGACCCACATCTTGATTGTTTTAAAATTAAAGTACATGTCTGACAGACGGGGAAAGTCTCACGAGATGTAACGATAAGGTCGCCTGGGCGCTGTGTCCAACTGTTTCGTCGCTATCCTTGCATAAGTCTCTTTCGTTCTTTGACACATCGACAGCGCAATTCTTCAAGGTAAGAAGACGAGGTCCTTAACCCATTTCAAACCAATTCAAGTTGATAGAGTTAACATTTTCTTAAGGGTATAGTATCATGTAATTTGATACGCTATTTCCTATTTTAAAATAACAATAATAATTATGAAAAAACTGTTTTTTTTTCTCTTTTAAACGCATTTTTGTTCTTGTTTTTTTTTTTGTTTCTTCTTCGGTTTAACGCATTTTTAGCTAGGAGTGATATGTCGTTTAAACAGTTTTTCCCCACTCGTTCAAGTAATATGAGTAAAACAAAGTAAGCTTAAACCTGAAAAAGTAAACGCAACAAATACAGCGGACGTGTCGGCAGAAAGCCTTCGTCAGCGAACAAAAACAACAGAAAAAAACGGTATAAAAATAAAAATAAGAAATAGCACCTAGCTGGTAAGTAGTATCTTTCGCTGACGAAGGCTTTCTGCCGACACGTTCGCTGTTTTGTTGCATTTATTTTTTCAGGTTTAACCCCACTCTGTTTTACTCATTTTCTTTTGTACTAACCTGATTGCAGTATCTCCCCTTATTGCCCCCCTCATACAAGTACAATGTCCTTCAAACTTTCAAGAATTCATTTCTTTCATAATTCAGATCCACATTTTTTGTTTTTTTTTTGGTGGATGTATATGCTGAAGAAGGTAAAAAAAAAAGGAGTAGGGTTGGGGGGGGGGGGGGACTAAAATAATTTGCTTATTTTTCCCACCTTTACTTTTTTTTCCTCTCCCCCCCCCCCCCCCCCTTTTTTTTTTTTTTTTTTGGTTGTTTTTTTTTCTTTATAATGTTAAAAAAAAAAGGTTAGGGTTTGGGGGGGGGGGGAACTAAAATAATTTGACTAATTTTCACAACTTAAATTATTTCTCCTCTCCCCCCCCTCCCCCCCCATAAGACCATGTCTGTCCTCTCCGCCCTGTTGTTTTGCTTGCCAGCCTTGACCTTGGCACAGGTCAACCTCAAGCCGTATGACGTCACCGCCGCCAACGCCTTCACCCAGTCAGACCTCAACCACGACGGCGTCTTCGACAGGAGCGAGCTGGAGCATTTCTTCAGGGTGAGTCGGTCACGTAGGAAGGGGAGGGGGTGTTGTGAAGGTGGTCCGCCCCCGCCCCCCCCTTGTATTTTTTTTTTGGGGGGGGGGGTTGGCCCTCTCAGACAACTGCTGAGCAGTTGGTTTCTTGGAAAGGGGGTCGAGGCGTGCAAAATCATGGCGCGCCCTGGGCGGGCGGCTCGAATTTACCTTACATCGCTGATGAAAAAAGATGATCATAGATGAGAATAGATGTCCATAGATGAGTACAGATGATCATAGATGAGAATAGATGTCCATAGATGAGAACAGATGATCATAGATGAGAATAGATGTCCATAGATGAGTACAGATGATCATAGATGAGAATAGATGTCCATAGATGAGAAAAGATGATCATAGATGAGAATAGATGTCCATAGATGAGAAAAGATGATCATAGATGAGAATAGATGTCCATAGATGAGAAAAGATGATCATAGATGAGAATAGATGTCCATAGATGAGAAAAGATGATCATAGATGAGAATAGATGTCCATAGATGAGAACAGATGATCATAGATGAGAATAGATGTCCATAGATGAGTACAGATGATCATAGATGAAAATAGATGTCCATAGATGAGAACAGATGATCATAGATGAGAATAGATGTCCATAGATGAGAACAGATGATCATAGATGAGAATAGATGTCCATAGATGAGAACAGATGATCATAGATGAGAATAGATGTCCATAGATGAGTACAGATGATCATAGATGAGAATAGATCATACTCATAGAAATAGGATACTCGGACAATAAATAGGATACTCGGACAATACATAGGATACTAGGACAATAAATAGGATACTCGGACAATAAATAGGATACTAGGACAATTAATAGGATATGCGCACTACAAATAAGATATGCGCACCACAGATATGATATGTGCACTACAAATAAGATATGTGCACTACAAATAAGACATGCGCACCACAGATGAGATATGCGCACTACAAATAAGATATGTGCACTACAAATAAGATATGCGCACTACAAATAAGATATGTGCACTACAAATAAGAGATGTTCACTCAAAATAAAATGTTTGCAGGGGGGGGGGGTAGTTATTTGATCATATTTTTTTTCAAACTATACACCGAGGCACATCAGTGTATGGGGTACAGTGAACCGGCCACCTGTTTGTAAAGTTTGAGGATCCCTGCAATAGGATTTTTTCAGAGTGAAGTTTATTTTGCTAAAATGAATTTATTTTAAACTGCTGTGTTAAATCACATATGTTTTTTTTTAAAAACAGCTTAAAGACTTAATTAAAGGGGTTTTATTATCCTATAGTTGTATGGCTTAAAACAGTTTTATTATTCTATAGCTGTATGGCTTAAAACAGTGTTATTATTCTATAGCTGTATGGCTTAAAACAGTTTTATTATTCTATAGCTGTATGGCTTAAAACGGTTTAATTATCCTATAGCTGTATGGCTTAAACAGTTTTATTATTCTATAGCTGTATGGCTTAAAACGGGTTTATTATCCTATAGCTGTATGGCTTAAACGGTTTTATTATTCTATAGCTGTATGGCTTAAAACGGTTTTATTATTCTATGGCTGTATGGCTTAATAGGGTTTTATTATCCTATAGCTGTATGGCTTAATAGGGTTTTATTATCCTATAGCTGTATGGCTTAAAACAGTTTTATTATAATACAGCTGTATGGTTTAAAGGGGTTTTATTATCCTATAGCTGTATGGCTTAAAGGGGTTTTATTATTCTACAGCTATATGGTTGAAAAGGGTTTTATTATCCTATAGCTGTATGGCTTAAAAGGGTTTTATTATTCTACAGCTGTATGGTTTAAAGGGGTTTTATTATCATATAGCTGTATTGCTCAAAGGAGTTCTATCATGCTATAACTGTATGGCTTAAAAGGGTTTTATTATCCTATAGCTGTATGGCTTAAAAGGGTTTTATTATGCTATAGCTGTATGGCTTAAAAGCGTTTTATTATCCTATAGCTGCATGGCTTAAGGGGTTTTGTATTACTCACGCTGTGTGGTTTCTCCGACTCCGCTCTGTACAGGAATACGACGTCAATGCTGACGGTTCCATAACGTTCCATGAGTTCAGCAACTTGGTCAATGTGAACCACGTCCACAACTCACAACTCAACCACTTCCTGCACGCGCTCTACCACGTCTACGACGTCAACAACGACCACCACGTCAACCATCTCGACTTCGACTGATTCTTCGCCCTGGCCGACAGCAACAGCGACAACCTGCTGGAGAAGCCAGAATACGTGCAGTAAGTAGGGGACGGGTGAGCTGTACTAGACACTATGTGCAGTAAGTTAGGGGGGTGAGTTGTGCTAGAAATTAAGTGCAGTAAGTAGGGGGCGGGTGAGCTGTACTAGACAATATGTGCAGTAAGTAAGGGGGGTGAGTTGTGCTAGACATTATGTGCAGTAAGTAAGGGGGTGAGATGTGCTAGAAATTAAGTGCAATAAGTAGGGGGCGGGTGAGCTGTACTAGACAATATGTGCAGTAAGTAAGGGGGGTGAGTTGTGCTAGAAATTAAGTGCAGTAAGTAGGGGACGGGTGAGCTGTACTAGACAATATGTGCAGTAAGTAGAGGGGGTGAGTTGTGCTAGAAATTAAGTGCAGTAAGTAGGGGACGGGTGAGCTGTACTAGACACGATGTGCAGTAAGTAAGGGGGTGTGAGCTGTGCTACACAGTACATGCGGTAGGTACGGGGTGAGCTGTGCTACACAGTACATGCGGTAGGTACGGGGTGAGCTTTGCTACACAGTACATGCGGTAGGTACGGGGTGAGCTGTGCTACACAGTACATGCAGTAGGTACGGGGTGAGCTGTGCTACACATTACATGCAGTAGGTACGGGGTGAGCTGTGCTACACAGTACATGCAGTAGGGACGGGGTGAGCTGTGCTACACAGTACATGCGGTAGGTACGGGGTGAGCTGTGCTACACATTACATGCGGTAGGTACGGGGTGAGCTGTGCTACACAGTACATGCAGTAGGTAAGGGGTGAGCCGTGGTTTAGGTCAAGGATGTATCGAAATGGGCAGTTGAAACAGCACAACTCATCTACTCCCAGGTCATTGACGTTAACTTAAAATTATTATTATTATTATTTTTTTTTTGTAGGGTGGGGGAATAATAAGACACTGCTCTTTTTAAACTGTTGACAGTTGGTATAGGAATATTTTACATGAAATTGATCTCTCTCTCTCTCTCTCCCTCCAGCTATCTTTCTGTTATATTTGAATCACTCGAGAGCGTCTGAGGTGAAGCATACCACGGTCAACAGAGACGCGTCCACATTGGAGAACAGCTTGTTGACGCTAGCGTCGTGTTCGCGTCATCGACATTAAAATGTCACGTGACTGGTATTGATTTATGATTTGTTCTTTGTTCTTTTTTCTTTGTTGTTGACAGTCATAACACAGGGCAAGGTCACGCATAACTTTACAATGAGACAGTCATAACACAGGCAAGGTCACAGATAACTTTACAATGAGACAGTCATAACACAGGGCAAGGTCACGGATAACTTTACAATGAGACAGTCATAACACAGGCAAGGTCACAGATAACTTTACAATGAGACAGTCATAACACAGGGAAAGGTCACGGATAACTTTACAATGAGACAGTCATAACACAGGGCAAGGTCACGGATAACTTTACAATGAGACAGTCATAACACAGGGCAAGGTCACAGATAACTTTACAATGAGACAGTGATAACACAGGGCAAGGTCACAGATAACTTTTCAATGAGACAGTCATAACATAGGGCAAGGTCACAGATAACTTTACAATGAGACAGTCATAACACAGGGAAAGGTCACGGATAACTTTACAATGAGACAGTCATAACACAGGGCAAGGTCACGGATAACTTTACAATGAGACAGTCATAA